GTACCTGAACTATACCCTTTTTAATCCTTTTTGTGAGGGTGGTGGGTTGATTCGTTTTAATTTTAGTACATTTCTGTGGCTGGGTTCTGGCCCTAGTGCTGTGTCTTGTCCATGTGTGATAATGTGTTGCATTGATACATACTTTCAGGATCAGTCAGTTCTCTACACAGCTGCAGTAATGACTTATTTTCTGAATATGAATCTGAGATGGCAGTGAAAAAATGGTCTTTTTGGAAAAATCCATGCCAGATTTGTTTCCTTCAGACAAATGAAAACTTAATTCTGCAGCATCTAGGTTCTCTGGTGAGTAGACAGAACCTTTGCGCACAGGTTGAATTTAGACCTCTGGTTGATTTGATTGACCTCATCTCCTCAGTTCCTTTTCTGTCAGACACTTTTCATTTCCTGTGCTGTTACACACACCAGATAGGTCCTGGCAGCATTCTTGTTGATGTCTCTCTCTCTGTAGATTCATCTCATACAACACCTCTGACTGACAGTTCTGTGGAAAGCTAATCGATGGCAGGAAAACATCAGCAATAATCACTGCCGGCAGAAATCCAGAGAGCGTGACCTGATGAAGACGGATCTCCATCAGAGCAGTAGGGCAGCTCTGATGGAGTTTGTCTGACAGGACGCTGAGAGCTTTGATAAGAGTCTTTGAAAGCAACCTGGAGCCTCTGAAGCTGAGCAATCAATCAGCTGGATGGATTCATTCAGAGAGGTTGAAAAACTGATGCACTGCTGTTACTGTCTTCAAATGTTTCCATCATCAACCAACAGTTTTATTAGTCCTCATTCATCTCTAAATACTGAACACAAAGGAGAAACGTTGCTGCGTGATATTTATCAGTTTGGAAGTTTGGAAAAAGAAAATATTGCTGCTTAATATAAGAAAAATTATTTGATAAATAACTCTCCCCCGAGATAACTTCAGGCTTTACTCAGTGGAATAGAATCATTCATTCACAAACATTCATATTTGTTTGTTTTTCTTCTTTTCTCCCCAGTTATGAAGACACTTTTGTGATTCATGAGCTCAGCTAAATCAATGAAATTTGGTTGTCTGCACTGTTTCCCATTATAGCTTTCACTAATTATTTACTGTAATAGGTTTGCAGTGTAGCGTTCTTGTGTTGTCTATATAGGTATATGTATATGTGTTCATTACAGATGTTTGTTTTAATAATTTGCTGTTTATTTTTTTCTGTTTCCTGTCATTTAACTGAAACTAATCACTTAATAAAACCATGATGTGGTACTGACCTCTCCTTAAAAAGAGAAAAAGGAACTTCCTTGGACCTTTTTAGCAAGTTTTAAAATGTAATTGATCAGTAGCGACATTATAGTAGCGACATTATTAGTTCATATGACACAACATGATCAGGGGTGCAACGATGCATCGAGTTAGTTGAAAAATTCAATTATAAAAAAGATTTTATGTATATTTTTAAGCTATTTTTTGTCTTCTTTTAGGCTATACTTGTTATTTGTAGTTGTCCATCCTAACACAGCAGGCTAAAACAGGCTAAAACAGTGATTTTACATTAATTTACATTTGAAATGTAAAATCACAGTCTATTTATGTGAATTTAATGATATTCTAGAAGACCAGTACAAAACTGTAAAATACACAGTAAAATACTTTTATATCACGATTTTTTTTACAGTGTACTTAACCCTATATATGCTACTTTTGTATTTATATTTAACTGATTACCTTTTAAATCTGTTTAAAAGTATTTTTCTTGTATACTGATTGCTGATGGATGCTAATATTTGTGAGGTGATTAATAATTAGCAGCAGTGGTATGGACAGTGATTCAGAGTTAGGAGCATGATTCCTCTTTACTGGAGCAGATCGGCGGGGAGGAGCTTGAAGTGTTGCCAGTGACAAGTTATTCACTTGTAAAAAAAAAAAAGGGAATAAATAAGATGAAAAATACATTGACCAGCTGCTAAAAACGGCTTGTAAAATACCACGAGTTGTGTGACACTGCATACTTTTAACACAGCAGTGTAACAGCTCGAGCTTGTGGCAGCTACCGGTGCAC